ATAACTATCAACGAAAAATATATAGATATTTTTAATACCATACTGAATAATTGTAATATCATATGTATTGCTAAGTTTAGACATTATAAATTATTATTTAATATAATTTAATAAATAATAACCAAGTACATAAAGTATAATGAAATAAATATATGATAGAACATAACTCAATTTATCAGTTTATATCTTGTGAAAAATGTAATAACTTGTTTAGTATTAGATAGTGTATTAATTTAGCATTGATTGAATATTAATTAAATTCTTAATGCATGTATGATTTATAATTTTCATGAAACTCTAATATTTAATAATCTAATTATTTATTACATGAAAAAAATTCATAAAAATAATTCTAATACAATTATAAAAATTCTGTATATATATTTTTTAGATCTCTTGTATTAATTTTTATATATTGTTACTCATGTAATGTGATTTATTTTTTTGCAAAAACAATAGTTTTTAGCTTAATTTTTGAAACAAAAGTAATTTTTTGATTAATGTCTTTTAAATTTGTTTACAATATAAATAAAATGCTAATTAATTGAGCTTAATGATAATTGAGAGTTAATGCATACAACAGTAAACAAAGTAATAGACAATTCAATATCTGAATATACATAATTTTTATACATATTTTTAATTTTATACATAATATTTTTATACATAATTATAGGTGACTGCATTAATTATTATAAATCAGATTCATAAACATCTAATATAATATAATTGTTTCATCGAGTCTCATGAAATGAATATAATCTTCCATTTTACTATTATTTTTATCATAAATTTCTATAAAATTATTATTGTTAATCTTAGATCTTTCTCTTTTTAGTAAAAATTATAATTAAAACGTAATTAAAATGTATATTCAATTAATTTACACAGAAGACTTCGTAAATGATATTCTTTTGATGGATTCATATATCAGTTGAAGTATTTTTGTTGAACTATATAAGAAGATAGAAAAATTACGTACTATAAATAAGATATATTACAGAGTTTTATTATAGCTGATATATATTCAGCTATCAAAGCATTTTTTAATTCGTATTTGTCATACAGACTCTAACTTGAGGATACAGCAACTACGGATGTTCGGAGTCACTAAAGTAAGGGCACTAAAACTTTTATTAAATAAGATTTCAAAGTGCTTATTACAATTTAATTAAAAGTGAAAGCTATGCAAGAGATAGATAAAGTAAAAAGAACTAATAAAATAACATAATAATATTCTGCTTTATCTGCATTATTAATAACTCATTTTACATTTATGAGAAATTAAAATTTTTTATAACAATATGTTTTGTTTTATACTATTGTTAATAAGATTAAAATTAAAACAATGTTATAGTGAAAAAATGTCATAGTATATCTGATAATTTGATTTAATAAAAAATACTTTGAAATAGTAATTTCTAGATTCTTATTGTAATTGTAAAATTATTTATTGATAGAAATTTGCATTTAGAAAGAGTGATTTATATAATTTAAGAAAATTCAATTTAGGATCAATGATATTTTACTGCGATATTTATATCGAACATATCAGTAATATTTAAAAATTATATTATTTAAAAGTTTGGTTATTTAAAAGTAATTATTCAATTAAATAAATTTATTTTCATATATTAGAAATTTGATCAGTAAGATTTTAATTTTCAAATATTTAAAAGTATAATTATTTGATATGCTATAGAATAATAACACATTAATATTAACGGTACACGCCAATAATGGAAATTATCCCTCAATAATGTCAACAATAATTTATAGTTGTGATTATGGGTAAATCATATAGAATATTATAGTATAGTATATTAGCTTTTGAATATAAATTAGATTTTAAAAAGATCAGTTTCTTAGATTTTATTTGTTCAATGTGTTTATATACATAACATGTATATTATTAAATCACTTTTGATAAATTCTTATATACTAAAGCGAATCTTTTCAAATTCGGAGGTAATCGTGATTTTAAATATTTCTAAAAATGCTTAACTAAATTACATAAATTTTTAATTCTTTGTCGCTAGTATTTATTTTGTATTTATCAATTTTTAGACGAATTATATTTATTACATAATATTAGTTTTTTTATTAACTCATTAAGACTGAAAATTAGAAGAAGACTTACCACCTTCTTTCTTTAATGATTTTACTAATTTAACTACGATTTACTATTCAACAATAAGATTTCATATAAATTCTTTCGACAAGTTGTATGAATTGTAATAGTAATTGAAAAGATTTTTCTTATTATTGTTGTACGGGAGTTAAATTATTTGAACTTGAAATATTTGTAGGCTTTACAAATATTATTAGGATATTAATATACTACTAATAAATTAATCATTTATATTATAATTTTCATTTATTTATAATTTCCATTTTATGCAGTATCAGTTATTAATATTTTATTCCGCATTTTCAGTTTGAAAATAAATATATTTTTAAAGTAATTATATATTAATTTGTTATGTAAAACTGATTTGTAGGGATATTAAGGTATCGGTTAGTCTAATAAAATATAATTAGAATTTGAAATTGTTATATGAACATAATATCTGAAGTCTAAAGTGGAAAATTGTTCACTATGAATAATATTTAATTAAAATTCATAACGATTCTAATTCATTATACCGAATCAAAAATTGAAATTTCAAAGATTATATCTACATAATAACCAATTAAAGTAGTAATTACTAATTTTGTTTGGCTTGTTCAAAATTACACACGTACTCGTAGTAATAAGCTATAATAAAACAACGGTGATCAACAATATAGTGTTCGATGAGGGATCTACAACAGAAAATATTAATAAAGAGGAATGGCATAACAAGAGTGAGGGAATTGGCAGGGCCACGTGGAATTTCACTACATGAAATGAAAAGAGAGTATTAATATAAAATTTCAAAGTTAATGTTATGTAGACAATGATATTACCTATTTACGACACTTCCATTATCATTTACAGCAAGTAAAATGAACTGTCATTGCCTATCAGATTAAAGGCAAACACGAGTAAAATAGAGAAAGAACGAACACAAAACATTTTAATACAAATTAATAATCTGGTCTGTAAAATCATGAGTAGTATCAATGTGGAAAAGGAATCTAGTAGTGCTTCCGGATTTCATTGCTCCTCCTCTTTACATCCGGTCACGTTTATTGTTGCATCCTCAAATAATATCTCGTAAATGCATATAAATATTCTACGCGCGTTCATTCAAAATAGAAACTACGTATTGTTTGTTACCTCTTATAGAATTTATTTTTCTTTTCCTACATGCAAAATATTCAAATTCGATTTTTTATAAATAAATAAATTGCCTCGGAGGAAAACTTAAACATAGCTGGTAAATGTAAATTGACCATGTGAATAAATAAAAATTAAATCAATTCAAACCTTTGAAAAATTTTATATATTCAAATCGATTGTATTAAGTGTTTTTGAATCTTTTCTTACACCTTCGTTATTCACTCGTATTGGATCAAATACCTTTCCAGCTTATTTTTTTCTCGAATCTTGCTTACTAAATATATAAAATCTTATTATCTACATTTTTCATTGGGACAAATTTTAATATACATCAAGGCTAAAATGGTAGACACTACAGTAAATCGACCGTTTTTCTCCACGTCATTAATTATAGTGATAAACCTCGACCACTGTATACTTTTATTGCCTAGAATTTCGTTTAGCTTAATGTAAAATTCGTTCAAAACTTTGATAATCTGCTATTTAAATTTAAACCCTAAATTATAGATAAATATTTTTATTCATTAAAATAATTTAGTATATAAAATAAGTAGACAAAGAAAACATTAAAATAATATTTGTAGAAAAATGAACGTAAAATTAAAATCGAAGAATTTTTAAATATTATTTAAAAATTAGTTAAATATCAGTGAAAAGTAGCTAAAATAAAAAAGAAGAAATTAAGTTATTTATACTATTATTTTTCTTAAATATTTTAACGTTCATACTTTAATTATTTTATTTTGTATTATCATTATATATATATATATATATATATATATATATATTTACATATGTGACGTAAACACGGAATAATATATACAATAAATATGAAATAAATTTATTAATATAAACATTTAATTTTAATGTACCTTATTTATTATTATACGATCTTATATTCAATTATAAACACTAACAATTTTAAACTGTTCTTTATATACTTTAATATTAATTAGTGAATAATCTCAATAAATGAAATCTATTTCATTTTAATTTTATTTTGGAATAATGAAAAGATAGATTTTAAGCAGTTCACGTCGAAACGAAAGTGAATGTTTACATATTTTTGGCTTTAAAATATAATATATAACAAATACTGGTTTACTAATTTAACCGACTTCAAACATACAAAGCTAATATTCTACGTCTAGCATATATAAGTATATGTAATAACAAATATGAACATAAACAATTAAGTAAATTTTAAAATACGATTTCAATCAATTATTTATAACCTTCTAATTGTGATATAATTATTATACAGTATTAATAGAATTGGAAAATAAAAGCAATTCGTTTGTATATTATTATATCTCTATAAACATAAAAGAATATTCTTAATTGATATTTAATGATTTTTAATTATTATCTATATTATTATATAAAGAATGAGATAATGTCTAGTACATATATCTTAAAAATTATATGCTTCCAATTCTCAACAAATGGCAATTTATCAAGAAATAAGAAGCTACAGAATACAAATGTAATTAAAATAGAAGCTATCATTCAGTCGTACTTTAATACTAAGCAAAAGATAAATAATAAAATTCCATGGTGGATACGTGTTTTGTAATTATATTTGAAACATGTCATCCGGTTATATGGAACGAAGGGCAGCATAATGTTAGCTATCCTTTGCTTTAGCATAAAAATGCAATTTTTTGTGCAATAATAGATGTGATCGCTCATGGAGTTGCTGCCAATATTAAAACTTGGTCTTGGTATGTTATAGCGCGACGACTGAACGAGTATATCCGGCATTATGAGCCATTGTCGTACGACACCCAGGAGATCCATCGCAGTCACCTGAGAACGAAGAGATCACTTGCTCATGACAATGCGGTCACACTTAAATTTCGCGCTCATAACAGAGACTTTCGCGTTAGACTCAAACGCGACGTCACTACTTTCAGCACCGATCTCGTCATCGTCGGACCCAGCAACAAAAAAGAAGACCTCGACACCTCGCACATATATCAAGGACACCTCATAGGTATGTTTTTAATCATTTATCCTTATCTCCCGTTAGGATTTGTTCATTTTTATCCGGTCTTTTTACTATTTGTAAATGTTCGGCACTTTATTTCCATTTATATATTTGCATTAATTTATTAAGCTATAGCAGCAAATTATGTCAATGTTATTAATAGGAAATAAAATGCAAGCACCCGCTTACGAACGCACGAACATACACGCACGCACATACGCGTAACTTCACACACATAGCACTTGATCTAGGGTGTACATGGTGAATTGTCATAATAAAAAATATAAAATAATTCAAACCATATGGAGTTTCTTAAATATTTTTCTTTTAAATGTATTTGCAGTTTTATAGAAAAAAATTAACAGCTCTAAAAATATTTTGAAACATTTTCTTATATATTGAATATAGAAATAAATTTTACAAAACGCGAATATATTTGTATATAGAAATGAGAAACTTTATTAACCTTCAAAAATACCTATATTATTTAATAAATACTTCTCTTATCTAATAATAACTAATAATATTATCTAAATGTAAAGTAAATATCTAAATATTAAATAATACATATAAAAACTTCATTAATTGTGGTTAAATAATTAATATTTATAGTTTTTATTTAGTTTTAAATACATACATAATATTTATTTAAATTTATCCAATACATTATTAAAAAAGTAAGTATGGATTTAGAATCATTATTAATGCACCTGTTCCATATTTTTTTATATATTTTTTTCTTTGTTAATTACTTAATTTTCATTGTTATTTTAATTTAATTGTAAGCTTCTGTATATGTAAGTTAAAAAAACTTTTTATTTTATACAATGTACAAATTTAAAATACACGGAACTTTTGTAGTAATTTTAAATTAAAAAATATATTTTTACTCTGTTTTGTATGAACAAAAAAGGTTTAAATAAAGACTTTTCATTATATATACAATTTATATATGTAACTAACTGGATCACAATGTACATCTAATTTCACTTCAACTAATTAAACTGTTTTAAAAATCAATATTTAATTTTATCCCTTAACATTGTATCTATTATGGTATTATTACAAATGTATAAATATTTAAAAATTAATAAAATTGATAAAAATGGTATCGGTCAATTTTCATATGTTTTTAATATATTGTCTGAAATTATTATAATCATATTAAGAAAGCAATTAGATTTTTGTTACGTAATAAGAAAATGACAAATGAATTTTCAAATAAAGATTAGCAGAATAGGTTTAATGAATTTTTCAATACAAATGTCAAATATATTTATAGAAGTTTGATAGTAGATTATTTTTCTTAATACAAAAATACTAAAAAAATCTAAGAATAAATATTTTTCTGATTTAAAAGCGACAAATGTCTATGATAATCACATATAAAATTATTTATATTAAAGTAACACGTATATAGTATACAGAAAAAATACGGCGTAGATTTTTAAGTGCAACGTGACGCATGCGGTGGCATTAAACAATGTTTGTGATAAGCAATATTTTCATTAATCTTAGCCGAGTACGATGCGTAATGCATTGACGTCATACATATAAATGTAACTTCTAAAATACTGAAGAAGTACAATATCTGAATATAAGATGCTGTTTCAAATTGTCACAACTGTCGCCAAGAGTTTGATACATAAAAATGTATTGCAATCGGAAAGCATAAACAATGGAGGGTAATGTTAATTAAAACATTAAACAAGACTTTCTCAATGTGAAAGAATTTTTTTTCTTTTTGTTTTTTTTTTCTTTTTTTCTCAATAAATTTTCTTCTAAATTTTCTCAATTTTCTCAATAAAAAGAAAGAAAGCTATAAAAAATTTTTTTGAGTAAAAAGACAACACTTTAAATATTTTATTCTATTGTATATTGTATTTTAAGGCTAACATAAAAACAAGAAGGGAAATATTGATTTTTTAATTGAGAAATTAAAAGAATATTTATCATTGTCAAAGAGTCACACTGTGTATTTCATTTTATATTTTTTTAAATATTGTAGGTAAACTATATTTTTATCTATTAATAGTTGCCAAAAGAGATATATCATCTAATGCCCTAATTTCGCAATTGCAAAAGTAATTTATTTATATTTTCAGTTCCAATTATTCATCCGGTACTTATCTAACTGAATTTTGAAATTAATAGTTTAAATTAAAAGGACTTGTATTTAATATATACATAGATGCCACAAATCGAGTAAATTATATTATGCAGTATATATTGAATTAAAGAATTTATATTGTAAAAGTTATTAAAATTTGTTATAAAACTACAATACATTCTTGTTTTATATTGTATTATATTATATTTATTCTTGTATTATTGTATTCTTGTATTATATTAGAATACTATATTTTATGTATATAGTAATAAAAATATAAAGGCAATATATCAAAAATTACTTATAATTATCACTTGTAAAGACAAATGTAATCAAAATTTAAAGAAAACTTGATTTAATTTTAGTAAAAAAACATAATTTATCATTATTATTGAAAAATTTTGTTTTATTTTTATTTATAAGTAATCTTAGTAATTATGGACTTTTAAACTATTAATGGATTAACTTAATTATTAAGTACTTAATACATTTATCATATATAATCAATTAAGTTTAGAAATATCTTAAAAAAAATTATAATTTTCCTATTTGGTTCAATTGGAAAGATTTCATAGAGCATAGCTTACACATAGTTAAAAAGAAAATAAAATTAAAAACAAAACATAGCATAATACTATTCTAAATGTTATATTTATATGAAATACTTATTTCTTACCCATAATAATAATAAAAGTTGAAATATTTGATTATCTAATCAAATATATAATTTTAATGTGCAAACATATTTGTATACTGAATTATATATCTAATTTTTGTCATAATAATTTCGATTTATGTAACGAGAAAAATTGCATTTGAACATGTTTAATGATCGTAAGCTCCATAAGTGTAAGTGATAGACAGAACTATCTCATATATATTTTGAAATAATCATATAAGCCGGATTCTCTCTTTTGTATCGACCATTTAAATACATATTTCATAATAGAAAAAGAAAGTTTTATTCGTAATGCAAAAAATAAAGAAATTCGACTTTAACTAAAATGACGTTAAAAGTATTTTTGTTTTAAACTTACAAATTATTGTTCTTATTCAAATATGCAACTAAATATTTTCCATCACTAGAAATATTCTTAATTGCAATGCTGTTTTTATAAAGTAGAACTGATGTTTTTCAAAAAGTTCACTCCTAATTAATATACTAAAACAAAATTATTATATGTGATTATATGATAAAGTGATATATCACGGGCATTATATTTATCAATAATTTTGTTTTGTTATTTGATCAGTAATATGTAAATATTTGAAGAAAGAGAAAAAAATTTTTATACTATAATCTTGCGCAATCTCTTTTTCACATTCGTAAATTCTCATAATTTTGAACACGATCGTGTAATCATAATCACGTATAAGAAAGTCTAGTAGTTCTCAATAGTTTGAATTACTCTCAGTTTTGTATTAAAATATATAGTTTAAATATAGAAAGCGTACATATATTATCTAAAATGAATGCCCATTGACATTTTATGCCATTTTTGTTGTGTATTCATATGTGATATATTCAATTCCCCCCCCCCCCCCCCCCAACATCTGTACGATAGTCGACCTATTAACTGTTACAGGCATGCGTACCATTTCATAACATTTGTAACTTTTAATGTTAGAGAGAGAAATAGAGCGAGAGAGCGAGAGATTGCGCGCGTGAGATGGATACGTTCATTTCCTGGTTGGTGTGTATTGTGGCAGTGAAGCCGATAAGGCCGACAGGGAGGAGCAAGCAACCGGGACTGTAAAGTAGGTTTGCTGGCACTCTTCTTTGCTGATGGAGATGAACCGAGTGTTAGTTAGATTGATTTTTCCCTCTGTCTTAAATCTATTAATACTGGTGCATTGCAGCTCGAGTGACATATAATAGAAAATAATATTGATTATATATTAGTAAAAATGCGCTTGCGACTACCAGTTTTCAGGGAATATAAATGAAATAAGTAGAAAATAATAAGTCATATATAAATAATAAATACTAGAATAATAAATAATTCATTGTATTATTGTTAATATTTATATTTCTGCATACACCTACAATTATTTACTTGACTGGTTTGTTTAAATGCATACTTTTATATATATTTCTTTATATGCCCATTTAATTTCGCCATAAAATATCAACCAAATTATACTATATGAATAATTTTATTGAATTTGACTGTATGTAATTACAAACTCAGTTTAAATTGCAATTTATCGCAATATACAAACTACTTATGTACTATTGGAATTTTATTTTTTCAATTGATTTATTATTTTGAAAAATTATATTTGTGTACTTCTTTTTTATATTATCGAGATTTCTCTTAGTTTGAATATAATATTTATCTCTTAATCTCAAAATTCATAATTAAAAATTTTTATAAAAAATATTTTAATTCAGATTCAAATATTTTATGCAATTTTTTTGTTAAGATGAATAAAGTGCGACATATGCAAAATAATACAATAAAAAACATTTATTGCAGCATATTATAATAAAAATATACTGACAAAATTGACGCAGCTTGCATATTATAAGTATAGTAACTTTGTTTTTTTTATTGAGTTGTATTTCATCTATATTCATTTTTTTGTTGGATCGCTATAAAAGAAACAATAGAACAGTTGAATAGGTATTGGCCTATACACAGTAAAAATATATTAAAAATAATTACAAATTATATTTCAATGCATTTAATCAAGACCGACTTACAGATCATACATAGATCCTATCGCTTTCATCGAAATATAAAATTATATTATTTAAAAAAGATTAATTTCGATTTAGATTACCACTACTCTACTTATTCACATACTAGAAAAATATATCCGACAAGCTATGTTAATTAATTTAGATAGATTTTTTTAATGGATGCTCGAAGATAATAATTATTATTTGAATTTCAATAGTGAAATGTAGTATGTCATAGTTAATTAAAATGAAATTAAAGATAATTGTCTATTTAATAGTGATTATCAATATTTCAACATTTTTCTTTTATATTCACAGGAGAGCCAGGTAGCCATGTGTTCGGTAGTATAAGCGATGGCATTTTCCATGGAAAGATAATATCGCCGCGCGACGGTGCCTGGTACATTGAAAAGTCGCATTACTATTTTCCTCGGCATAAACTCAACGAAACTCTCCACTCCGTCATTTATCACGAGAATGACGTCGAAGATCCATACCAGCGTCTACGACCAGGTAAGTCTTTATAGGTTAGGTACATACGTGTCTCGTTCCATAAGATGTTGCTGACAGCTTTATAATTTTCATTGACTTCTTATATAAGCCTCTTAAAGCCAAAGGATATATACGAATAATCTATACGATTGAACTACAATATTGTCTATAATTAGAAATAGAAATAGAAAATTTATGTATTTTATATTTTATATTTTATATTTTATATATTTGTTTAACATGCAATTTTATACACTATTTTGCAATTATTCTAAATATTAATAATAAAAATTATATCGAACTGGAGTATAAGATGTAAAAAGAGTTGGAAAATATTACAACGCGAACGAGAGACCTACTTTTTTCATTACACCTTTTAAAGTTAATGCATTTACATCGTATCAACAGTTGTACACACTATCGTCAAGGGTTTCTTTTATCTGCATTAATACACAGTCACCCTGCATTACATACTACCATATCTGCATACACTGTACCTCCTCTTGCTTCTCGATATAAAGTTTTTTTTTTCATCCAATGAATCGATGTATAATCATGCAGTAGTTAACTTTTAGCCCTCAGTTGCTAAAATTTACGAATATTAATACTATATTCTTACGTCCTCGATTCTTCGCAAAAAACAATCTGTTACTTCTATACACATGTGCACTACAATATGTTTTCTATTGTGTCTTTTTTTGCAAATGTTTTATATTGTTAAAAAATATTTGCCTTGAAACGGTATGTTCATAATATATTTATTAAGCATTGCATTGAAATACATACTAGTTATTTTAGTTCTTATAATTTTACAAATAATTGAATAAGGCTCATTTATAATTTTCGGTGATTAATAATATTTCTGTTCTATGCTACCTTTGTCAAACTCGTATAATTAATAAATAAATGTTATGCAAAAAGCAATTAATTAACTTTGATTTTTTACTTAAATTTATTTTTAATATGATGTTTTTATTTAGTATACTTTAATTTAAAATGTTTAAACTTATTATCTTGTAGTTTAAATCGTCAGTATAGAATTTACAACGTGAATGAAATTTGTAAAAATATGAACACTTAATCAATTAAATATAAAATATAATTAAATACATTGTAATAATATAATTAAACAATCTTTTACATTATTGTAAAAAAAATATACAGATAATAACAAACAATGTTTTTTAAAACTTTCTACAGCTGTGAGTAATAAAATGAAATATGAAATTAATGATAAAAAATTTATACTACTGATACACACATTTCTTCATCCATACAAGCTAATAACAAATTAAAATTCTACGTCAATTTTTTAATAATTACTTATGGTTCAAAATTATTAAAATAAAATAATATTCAAGTGTATTGCAAGAAATGAATATAATGAGAAAATTATTTGACTGAAAACAATTATTAATCGCAGCCTTTTTTTTAAATATTCAAATCGATATTACATTATTAATAATAGAGAGTATATATCTAATTTTTAAATATTAAAATACAATATATAATAACCATATAATCATTTGGATAATAATATTGAACATTGAATAATAATATTTATTTTTTCACTATTTAAAAAAATTTATCAATACTTATTTTTAATAAGCTGATAATGACTATTGAAAAGCCGAAGTTAATATACATTTACTTAAATTATTAAACGTGGATAGTTGCGAAAAAGTAGCACATCTGTGCGTATACATATGTAATCTTATAATTATTAATTTTATAATTGAAGAAATAGTATCAATTATTTAATGCAAAATTAGCATTCGAATTTTATCGTAGAATTTGTAAAAAATTTATGGAAAATTAAGATATTTAAATAGTAAAAAAACAATGGACAAGCATATCATGAACATTGGATAAGAATTTAGTGTAGTTGATCAAACGTGTCCTA